CCAGAGAAAATTTTGAAAAATCGAGTCAATATCCTGGCATTTGAGGTCATTGCTGGGAGAAATTCTTGTGGACGAGAGGACCAGAAATGTGAGTCAATGGGACAGAATCTCGAGATCTGCCCCTGTCAATTCCGCCTATTTTGCAAGAATTGACATAACATTTGTTGTCTGACGCCCCACGACCCTCACACCAGTGGTACTTCTATTATTACTAATATAACTGGGCAGTTCACTATAACCATGAATATGATAGTGATAAGACAGTATAAGACAACAGAGGAGTGGAAGAATGATGTTATAATGGAATCGAGCGCTGCTGGCGCGAATAAATTTCAGATATGTAACCGATCTATAAATTTTTTGGGACTGGGCCTGAAAATTTTAGTCAATGTCATGACAAATGGTACCAAATTCTCGTTAACGAGAGGATAAGAAATGGGACAGAATCTTGAGGCATATCTGTCAATTTCGCCTGTTTTGTGAGAGTAGAAATAACAATTCTACAGTCTGTCGACCCACAACCCACTCACTAGTGGTACTATTAACATGGTGATTTACTGTGAATATGATAGTGATGAGATAGTAAGAAAGAGGAGTTGAAAAATGATGACATAATGGAATTGAGCGCCCTTATGTAGCTGAGCCTTTAATTTCTGAGGGCACTTTATCTCAATGGGGCGCTTACTTGGTCTCTGAAATGCTCTGGACTTTGGGGAGAGATTTTGCAGAATTCTGATCGTCAGAAAACACTTACAACATCAGTAAAATATGTTTCAATTTCTCCTGGGATTGAATATGTAACAAGTAAAAATTCTTAAGTGCAATAGTTGGCTTTAAAATTTCATAATTTAAAGATTTTTTTAGGTATTTCTGAAACAAGCTACACTTCCGATAACTTCTTACCAACTGTTCGACTAATATTATTCGTATGACAATCAAGAATATATTTTGAAATATCTCAATTTCTTAGACCAACATACCCATAACAGGGATTTTTTTTTTCAAACATGACAAGCTGACTAGGTTATCTTATACTATACCGTTGCAATTTAGGTGCTTGGATTCACACAAAATTATTCCCTTCTATTTTGGCATTGTTTGTTTACCTCATTTATTCATTTAGTCTGAGACCGACTGCGGTGAGCACTTTTTTTGAGACCGACTAATTTTTTTATTATAGGGAAAACATTTCTTAGAACGACATACTCACAACAGAATAAGAGTGCAAAACATTTTTTCAAACATGACAAGCAGACATGGTTATTTTATACTATAGTTTTGTGTGACGTATGCATAGTTTTGAGACCGACTTCAGTGACTGCACTTATTTTGAGACCGACTATTTTTCTCCCTGGGGGGAATTTTCTTCTTAGACTAACATACTCACAACAGAATAAAAGTGAAACACAACATTTTTTCAAACATGATAAGTTGACAAGGTTATTTTATACTAAAGTTTTGCGACTGACTTTTTTTTTTCCTGTAGTACTATATGTACTACAGTTACTATTGGCAGTGATTAAAGCTTTGTAATAATTAACTGGATTACAGACTGGATTTATACGAACACTAATTATTATTGTTGACCTTTTACTTTATATTGTCTGTTTGACAACCAAGTTTAGGTGGCCAGACACCTTGTTGACCTACACTGTAGCTTATTCCAACATCGTGCACCAACATCAATAGTTGCCGTCCTTAGGGCATAAAGAATAAGTATACCAAGTTCCAAGATAATCCATTCAGAATTGTATCCTCCGGGTGCTAAAGGCAAAAATTGGGCGTAGCTCTGCCCCTGGGGGTCGGGACATTCACCAAAATCAATAGTTGACGCCCTTAGGCTATAAGGAATACATATGCCAAGTACCATGTTGATCCATTCAGAATTTCGACCTGTCAACGATAAACACAAACATTGGGTGGGGACATGCAGTTGTCGTCCTTAGGCTATAAGGAATACATATCCCAAGTTCAAAGACGATCCATTAAACTCGTGGCCTGTAGGCATCACACAGACACAAAGAAATAATTGGTGTGGCTCTGCCCCTGGGGGTTGGGCATGCACCCCAAATGATGGGGAGGTTCCTTAGGGTACAAAGAATAAGTATGCAAAGATTCAATATGATACGTTAAGCAATGCGGCCTGTAGATGACAAAAATACAAGAATGCCACTGGGGGGTCGGGCATGCACCAAAAACATTAGGATCATCCTAAGGGTATAAGGAATAGGTATGTAAAGTTTCAAGATGATCACTTAAACATACATTATGCAAGAGCTAAATCTGTCTATTGCAGGTCTTTCGTTAGGCCTGAAATGTTATCTAAATTATTAATTAGACATTAATTAACTTATCCAGACCATAATCAACTCTAGATGGCATCGCTAGCCTGCGATCTTAAGTGGATTGTGAGCCGATTTACTGCATAACTTTCCTTCTCGATTAAACGATTAAATAGATAATCGAGACTATGCTGTTTATCGTACCGACTTCAGTAATGATGACCGAGTCTAGGCAGAAATTTCATTCGCTTAGTTTTCGGTTCATAGTGGATCAATTTGAATGAAATTTTCAGCAAATTGCCTTTGAACTATTATAGTGAGAACTGCCAACTCGTTATCAAATCTCCCATAATGTATCTTTAAGAATTGTAGGCCACACACACACAGACAGGTGCGACGGCAATATACATCCACATTATGAATGTGGACATATAAAGATAGGTTGCCAGGCAACGAAACATACGCCCACAGCAGCTATATCGTCCGGGCAGTCAACAAGAGTTGTCGCATATTTTTACTTTTTTTGGTAATGAAACATTTATAATACATTAAAATCTGATTAAGTAATTATCAGAAAACCATTAGAATTTGTTCGGTTTTATAAAGTTCTGCCCCATGCTAACGTTTAGTATACGAAACTTTTAACATCATGGATTTAGCTGTTCAAGTCATAAAGATTCATTGAAAATCAATATACTTGTTCGTCTCAAGACCTTTAACACTGTGTATAAAGTTAAAATCAATCGGATATTAACTTTAGCCTCTAGAGCGTCCACAAGATTTTTCAAAGTGATCAAGGGTCATAACTCTGGCAAAAATTTATCGGAAATCGCTGAAAATTAATAGGATTCTTCGTCTCATGACCTTAAACACTGTGTATAAATTTAAAGTCAATGTGGGCGTATAAAAATGGATATTTGAGACTTTGTTTATTTTTATAACAACGGTAACAATGACAATCAAGGCTATGACGTTTACTCGGCCCAGAGTGAAGTAATTTGACTGAAATTTTCAGCATATTCTCTATACATTATCTATTTTTTAACTGTTATAATTGTCAGCTCTTTATGTAGTCTTCCATAATGACACTAACTTTGACATTTTGGATTGTCTGCAGTTTTATTGCCAAGCAAGTAGTGCTGTGCTGTCTTATCTAAATAATAATTCTAATTTGGTTAAAATACAGGCATGTATAATTAGCTACATCTAACAAAAATATTCAAGATCCCTAACATGAACAAGTCGGTGTCATCCACATGTTATTTCCCTTTAATTCTATAGTGAAATGAGTCAAACTGACAAGCTAAAGAAATGAAATGTGGTTTTATGGCACGTCCGCCCCAACCGGACTACATTAAATACTTCTAGTGCAGTCACAAAGGGAATAACTCTGGGGGTATTTATAAGAAATTATTGAAATACATGTACAGACTTTTTTTTGATTCATTTAATTTAAAGGTGATCAGACATTTTGACTAAAAAGTGGTCAAAAGTTGTTTTTTTTACATAATAACAAGAGGTCTTACTCAGCATTTAATTATTTTAATACATGTATGTTATTGAAAACCAATAGGATCCTTTACTCCACAAAAATCAACAATGCACATCACTTTTCACAAGACCAGAAGATAACACAGAAGACAAGGGTGATGCTAATATGGTCAGATGTGTATTCAAACAAGCCAACAGTGAGGCTGATGCCCCCCTGCCGAAATCCCAAAATAAATAGATGACACATATTAATTAGTCGCGCATTTATTTTTTCAAAAGTATTGAGCAATCAAACTATACACTAAGTTTCATCACTCTCTATCAGATAGAATCAAGGTTATCTTGTCCCAAAGAATCAACCCATGAAATCGCTTAGCTCTGCTTAGCTTTATCTCGAAATATTAATCATTGAACTCAGTCAAGAAATTCACCTAATGAACATCTACATCAAGTTTAAACATTCTACCTCAATTAAAAGCAGAGTTGTTATGTTCCAAAGTCTTGACCAATCAAATTGCTTGTTGCTCCTTTGTCTAAGCAGAAAAGTCTCATCATTGAACATAGTCAAGGTAATGATATAATGAATCTATACTCAGAGTTTCATCGCTCTCACTTAATTAAAGCTAAAGTTATCGTGCCCCAAAGAATCAACCAATCAGATTGCTTATCTCTGCTTACCCTAAGCATCAACCTAATGAACGCCTACACCAAGTTTGAACATTCTACCTCAATTAGAAGGAGAGTTATTGTGTTCCAAAGTCTTGACCAATCAAATTGCTTATTGCTCTGCTTACCATGAGCAGAAAATGCTCATTACCGAACTTTGTCAAGGTATTGATGTAATGAAACTATACACCAAGTTTCACCACTCTCACTTAATTAGAACTAAAGTTATCGTGTCCCAAAGCATCAACCAATCAAATTGCTTATCTCTGCTTACCCTAAGCAGAAAATGCTCATCTTCGAACTCCATCAAGGCTTTCACCTAAAAAATACCTACACCAAGTTTGAACATTCTAGCTCAATTAGAAAGAGAGTTATTGTGTAACAAAATGTGTGAAGGACAGACAGACAGATGGACAGACAGACAGACGGACAAACCCATTTTAATAGTCTCCTGCTTTCTTCGAAAGGCGGGGGACAATAAAAAAAAAATTAGCAACTGCTTGAGATCCTAAATTTTCAAAATTCATTTGAATTGTTGTGTAAATTATAAATTATACTTACAAGTCATAATGCTGATTCCATTTAGGATCAAGAGTATTTCTACAGGTTTCTGTTGAGTGACATTGTCCTGAGCCATCTACACTTATTTTAGCAAATGGATCAGGTAAACCTAAAAGAAAGAATAAATATTATGGAAATATTAGACTAAATGTGAGGAATTTATTGCTATGTAAAAGCACATGATTCGATTGCAGTGGGAATACCATCAACTTGGTCATAAACAGTCTCTAAAATAACTAACCCTATACAATATCACAAAATGTTGTGGGTAATCGGAAAATTACACACAATTATGAATGCTTTATTTCTGAATAAAATGCTAGGAAAAGTAGGTTTTGAATTCCACAGTGCAGGGTTAGTCTGAATCTTTCAACCCTTTCCAAGCCTCCTGATGTTGTCATGGTCGAAAAAACTAAGCATTATTTTATTTTATTAACAATTGTTCAAAGGATCAAAGGAACATGTAAAGAAGTATAAACGTGCTATGGACCAGCAACCGAGCATGATGTTATTGCTGCCTTCTTGAATCCATGCACAATTGGCCAAGGAACAAGCATGCCACGTTTCATGTGGACCATTATACTTGCTTTGAAGGAACCTTAGGCTTTGTTTGAAGAGCATAGTCCCCAAGAAGAACAAGAAGATGAGTAGTGTTTGGGCCCTGTTCCTGGTCCAAAAAAGATTTAACTTTCCAAATACATGTACAGTACATGTGCAGGATAATGGTTTCAGATACTCAAAAATTCCCCAGATCCTTGACAGAGTCAGAAATAAAGGATTATAAATCCCCACTTTAGTGCTTAGTTTGGAAACCACGACAGAGTAAGAAGTAAAGGATTAAAAATGTCCACCAAACAGTTTACAGTTTGGAAACCTGTAATATTTTTTTCCTATTATAATACAGATACTGTACACAGAGAGACAGAGAGAAATGGGGTTTAATGTCCACTCGACACAAACTAGGTCATTTCGGGACTAATATATTGTTTAATTTTATTTCAATAATTCGCTTGAACGTAGGGGTCTTTAGCAGTGGGAGGAAACCGGAGGACCCGGAGAAAACCCACGAGGTTGGACAGGCAACCCTACTCCTTGCCACGTACAACCGGGGATTCGAAACCACGCCAGTTGATTCAATGACAGACTTTATGGTACAGTGCGCAGGTGCTAACCGTTCAGCCATCTAACCCCCGATACTGTACACATATTATTTAAACGGATACTGGTACTCCAATACAGGATTTTTTTATGCTGTTATCTATGACTGTATAATTTATAACACCACCAAACAACAATTTTTAAAAACTTACGAAAAAAATCTTTTTTGGCTAAATTCTTGGCACATAATACTGAAAAATAATAAAATTACAGTATATTAAGTATGAAATTTCAAAAGTCAAAATCTATTGATTAAGGTTTTATGGTTAAATGATTCACAAAAAATTAAAATAGAATTCTGGAAACAAGGATGATAACTCCATAAACATTCTTCAGGATTCTTCAAAATTTAAATACGACACATTTTTATGGCATAAGAATAAATTTCTGAATATTCAGTCTAAAACTTCTGAATATTCAGTCTAAAACTTCTGAATATTCAGTCTAAAACTTCTGAATATTCAGTCGAAAACTTCTTCCGGTAAATCATTTATATACTGTTTTTGAGTCTCTCCCAAAATGTGTACAGACTATTGCAGTCTGCAACTTGCAGTGCAAGAGCAATAACTCCAGAAATATTCATTGAAATTCTTAACTTATTAATAAACCTTTGGGAATTACAACCAACTTGTCAAATATTTCTTCTTAATTTTTACTTGTACACAAAAGTATATGCTCATTTTCAGGTTACCCAGTGGGCGTATTTATAAAAAGTTCAATAAGGAAAACTTCTACAAAAGTATATGACAAATATTCTTGAGTCTATTCATACACAAAAATCACATGGGGGGAAAAGATTTTTCCTTGTTGATTTTCTATAAATTAATGCACAAAGAATAAAGGTATATTGAATCCACTAAGCATTCATTAATCGACATTTCTTGACAAATTCTGGTAATTTTAGTAATGTCTGAAACAATTCTTGACCATCAGGAGAGTTATTATCCATTAATACATACATGTACATGTATGCTTTAGATTTATTTACCGGTACTCAAAAATATTTGACTGTTGACCTCTATTACAGGAATTGAAGATAATGAAACAACAGAGGGCGGACAGTGGTGATGACAAACACACAGCAATGTGATTTTCAGTTTCTATAAACTGCGCACAAAGGTCAAAATCAAATCAAGATCAAGGCAATAAAACAAAATAGTAACCTATGTTATGTGCTACATAGGCATTTGGAAAGTAATTCAGTGTACCGGTATCGGATCATTATCATTGCTACTGGTATTGGTCATACATTAAGTGTACACTGGTACATACAGGTCATACTTGTACTGGTACATTTTGTACATAGGCCTACTGTATGCTATAAATTAATTCAAATTATTAGATACTTTTATGAATGTACATGTATATTCAATTAGGTGATTTACATAGGTTTCTGGTTCATTTATTGTTGAAGAGTAAAACTCTTTAGTGATAAGACAAATATTCAAGGGTATGTGTGAAAGATACTGACCTAGCTCATTATGTTAAAAGTCACATTGTTGACCCTTGTATCAACATTAGTTCACTTCTAGCCATTTTGTTGATTTTATGGTCCAGACTAGGGTGGAAGAAGATCCACTTTTCCCACACTACCCGTAAAAACAATAACATATGGAAGCAAATCTTGCCGTCATGAAATGTTTGCACATGTACATTTTTTCAGTGTAAATTTCTCATTTCAGAATTTTCAATTGACCAGGGTGTCAAAAGTTTTGCATTTACATAAAAAGTATTTTCGCCAAATTTCACTCGAATCTGTTGGTTTTTGGTTCTTGAGCCAGACAATCGAAAAATAATGAAACTGTCAAAAAAGTATTTTTGCCAATTTTCACTCGAATCTGTTGGTTTTTGGTACTTGCGCAAGACCATCGAAAAATAATGAAATTGTCAAAAACCTTGGTGGTATTAAACGATCTGCAACACAAATTCCTTCTGTTCTTCAACACACGACAGAAACAAGTTGAAGGAACTCATTTGGATCACTCCACTCTCTGCAAGGTTATTTGTGACCCTCTGTGGAACACCTTACCTACATGTATCAGTGTACCACATGCTAATAATGTATTTAAATGTGTTACTGATCAAATAAAAAAAATAAAAGTACCAGAGCGGTGGTTGTACCTGGGTGTGCGTGTTTTTTAGTTTTAGCGTGTAGTGAATATTTGATACGAAACATTCCTTTAATTTCATTTTATTGAAGCTTCTTTATTTTTTATATGTGTATCAATAGAACTGAATATTGATTTCGATATTTTCCCCGTAGTTGCCAACGAGTATCGGCTATATCAATATTTTTCGCAGCCCTAAGGGCCACTAGTAATTGAGACAGATACCAAAGGTGAGAAAATTTGACTTGTAGGAGCACGGTCTGGTTGCCAGTACGTATGGCAGCATCTCAAATTTTGAATGATATTGCGCAAGTTTTAAACATGAAGCGATTTCCAAAAGAATTTGATCATGCAGTTTTCTCACCAAATGGGAAAAAACTCTAGACTGGTCAAATTTTCTATAGATTAGAGCTAATACCATCTCTAATAGTAATAAATGACCAAAATATTGATTTTTTTTTAAAGATGTCACAAATACTTTTTTAAGCCTATGATTAGTTTAAAAATTATAAAAAGTTTCATAAAAACAGCTGAATGTTGTTTGCATTTTTGGGGGCTTAATCCAAAATACATGTAAAATATAATCATTTGAAGTGACAATGTAAAGATACATTCCTGTGTACAAACTGGGTAATTTAATGGTATATATGGACTAAAAACATATTAAAACTAATTAATTTGTCATAATTTTGCTTCAAATCCTTCTCAAACATTGTAATTGCGAATGAATGCCCTGCTATAAAAATTTGATCAAACCAGGTTATGTTTACGTCACGTGACTTACCTCTCTTTGAAGTCAGAGGACAATTCATTGCATACATAAGACGATGTTGTCTTTAATTGCTTACTGTTTATTACAAATATCGAATCCTAATTAAATTCTCGGATTATCCACTACCTGTGTCTTTTTCTGTCATTTTTATCTCAGTAAGTGTTGTACGTCTAACTCTTCATAAAGTTTATCAACTTGTACATCAAGCGCTCAATGTTAGCTTGTGACCTTTGATATCATGCGTGCAGAAATTCCTAATTGTCTGGCTATCGATTAGGGGAACCCTTACATTTTTGTCCTGTATACGCTCCATGAGTGTTTTTCGGGGAATCCAGTACATTTCTAGTAAGATTTCCACATATACCAAAATTGCCATACTTTTATTGGAAATAACCACCCGATAAATACTTTTCTGGGAACCCAGCTTTAAATTATTTAAAATACACAATCTAATTAAAATACAGATCTATATATTCGTTTAGTTTTTTTATACTTTCGATGGCCTACACTACATGAAGATCTAACCGGTTGTACTGGAAGGTACATTGTACCGTCAGGGGTCGTATGAGCTGCTTTTGACCATATGACATCAGACATTGATTAATCAATCAGTGCCGACGTTTGTAGTGGTTTACTCACAGTTCCGTGCATCAAACGCCAAGAACTCGCCGTAACAGACCGTTTCATTGGCTTATCCCCCACTTCAACCAAAACACCAGTAATATACATGTAACAACTCTTCCAGATCCTAGTATGGTAAAAACAAGTAAAACGAAATTTTGAACTATAATAAATGAAATGAAATAGGATCTGTGTTTTAATAAGATTGTAAAATACATACTGTAACATTTAATTAAAGATACATTATGAAAGATTAGATAAAGAGCTGACAGTTCTCAGTATAATAGTTAAAAACTAGATAATGTAAAGGGAATTTGCTGAAAATTTCAGTCCAATTTGTCCACCCTTAACCAAGATTTAGTGACTGAATTTTCGGCCTAGCCTCAATCATCATTACTAAAGTCAGTATGATAAAAAAACATAGTCTCGATTATCCATTTCATGATTACATTATGAATGGAAGTCGAACAGCAATTCAGAACCTAATCCAATAAACATTGCAGGTTGATTATGGTCTGGATAAGTTAATTAATGTCTAATTAATAATTTAGGTAACATTTCTGGTCTAAAGAAAGACCTGCAATAGGCAGATTTAGCTCTTGCATAATGTATGTTTAAGAAAACAAAACCAAAATATCAACAGTACATGTCAATAATCTCTCAGCTTGGATTCAATCAGATTAAAAAGAAGCCCATCAAAAGATTTTCTCGAAGATTATAGTTGGCAGTGACGTTTTTTTTACCATATCATATTATATTGTCGGAGGAGAATGTTATACAAACATATACCTGACAAATTTTCAATTCATCATGTATGTGTAAGGAATAATGAATGGAATTTTGGACTAACATACCTTTAAGAGATTCAACTTTTACAATATAATAGTCACTAGTGTATGCAAATGATTCAAAATCCTTCAAACAATGAGTTAGATTGTGTAATAAATGGGCTCTTCAAAAACTTTTTTTTCACATATGTATATATAGAGAGAAATGGGCCGGGTTTAACGTCCACTCGACACACTAGGTCATTTCGGGATTAACACATGGTTCAATTTTATTTCAATAATTTGCTTGCACATAGGGGTCTTTAGCACTGGGAAGAAACCAGAAGACCTGGAGAAAAGCCACAAGGTTGGACAGGCGACCCTACTCCTTGTCACATACAACCGGGGAATCAAAACCCTGCCAGTTGACTCAGTGACAGACCGTATGATACAGCGCGTGCATGCTAACCATTCGGCCATTCAACCCTTCCTTTTAGATATAGAAATCACTGCTTTCAGGTAAAGGACTTAGTACATACTAGCATTGGGAAAACTAATAGCCTATCTACAGTGACAAATCTATTAAAGGATAACAACATTATTTTGTCTAGCCTATTTAATTAATAATGATATCTGAGGCTACATATCTAGATCAAAATCTAGCCCTAGGCATCAAAACACTCTATATTATTAATATGTCATTCATTCAATCACTGCTTTCCCAGTGACCATAGACTAGCCTTTGCTGTTAAAGATACTGTAAAACAGACATATTTATGGACCAAGAAATTAATGTAAACAATGAATGATTAATGGCATATGGGTCATCTGCATTTTTACTAAAATATCAAATTTCTAACTGCTCAATCCACACTAAATATGTACTCAGGCTGATTATTTAACATTCAATTATAACAAAACAAAATACGAAAGCTAGAGGCCCATCAGGTGTCTCTGCTTCCAATAAAAATAACCATTCAACATATTGTAGTTTGCAATGGACCCTAGTGCAAAATGATGCATCAAGCTTTTAAATATGATATAGCCTTTCACATTATTTTCAAAACAAATTATTATTCTGAAGAAAAAAAGTTGAAACTACAGAGATAGGCTTCCCACAGATTGATTGTATCCTTTTACAATACATATTAAACATACATTATGCCAGAGCTAAATCTGCCTATTGCATGTCTTTCTCAAGACCTGAAATGTTATATAAACTATTAATTAGACATTTATAAAAAAAACAAGACCATAATCAACTCTCGATGGCATCAGATACTCAAGATTTTAACTAGATTAGAACGGTTTGCCATTTAATTTATACTAGTGCCCTGGATACTACAATGCACACATCTTGTCAAAACTACAAACAGTGATAACTTGGCTCGGAATGAAGTAATTTGAATGAAATTTTCAATATGTTCATTTTACATTATCTATTTATCAGCTATTATAGCAAGAATGGTCAGCTCTTTATCGGGAGTTGATTTCAAACACACAGGTAAGTTTATAATAACCAAAGTTAAGTAGTTTGTTCATAATCAAAGAAATCTGTTTAAAATTTACGATGGTTCAGACAGTAGTTTTTGTTATATGCCCACACGTGTGGCTGTATAGTCTTTTATAGTCTGATTCTGGTGACAAACGAACTGTCCACAAGAAGAGGAGAAAGCAGAGAAGAGAAGATAATATAGACATGTATAATTCATAATCAATTTCTATGGTGCCATTTACAGTACCTTAACCTAGTAGCTAAATTTTGTAAATATGATTATTATTGAGGTACATGTATATTCTTCTTTGGCAACAGAGTTGTATTTGAGAGAACTGTTATTATGTTAGATGGGAAAAGTAATTGAAGAGAAAATAAGAAATTGTTTGGCCTACTGAGTACTCTATAGTCTATGTTAGTATGTTGAATAGGCTAAATCAGCCAAGAAGAAACAATATTTATTCACACTAGGCCTATTTATGGCATTATCATTCGATTTTACATGACTCGAAATGAAAAAAATAAAGAATTAAGTCCTAATAAAATCAAGCATTATCATAATAAACATGATCGAATACCGCCTTTGTCTTATTTCCTTCAACACTGACCCGTTTGTGTGACACTGCCAGTCCACTACTTTACTCTTCCAGTCTAACGAGCAGCCATGTTTTATGTACTGAGGACTAGGGCTGTTCAACTCAAATCAACTCATAAAAAAGTCTACTTTTCTTAGGTTTATATCCCATAACTAGAACGATTAACATACCTGTTAAACGTATTTTCATAGGCCCGTTTCTTCTTGGCCCCTCACTAGCCATTATTCCGTATAAAACAATATTTTGACATCCTTTTTATTATGGTATTATCATCATAGCCCTCAGCAGTGATTCAATCCACTGTGTGGGTTTTTGTGGGCATATAAATGCTCAATCGTCACTTCCGGTGTTTTCAATGACGTCGGGTTTTGTTTACATTAATTTCGTATCTCCCAATATAAATCCAATGTCATACAATTATTGTAGACTATTAATATAGCCATTCAAAAAATTATTAGCTGCAATTATTATTAGTAAAGCCATTTCAAAAATAGAAACAGTCAAGGGACGAGAAGCAGAATTAACTGTTTGAGGTAGGGCTTTACTTAGGCCAGGCTATAGGCCTATAATAGGCCTATTTATTAAATTAAAAACTGTTAAATAAAAATAGACCTAATTAAATTAATGCTTTTTGATCAGATAGATCTAATTTCACATTTTAATTCTATTATTTATTAAATTGATTTTTTTTTCAGGGAGCACCAGTAAAAAGATAATTTCAAAGCTCCTAATTATATTATGGTACGTGTTTGCTATTTAGTCGTATGGGGATTGGATGGCCGAATGGTTAGCAAGTGCGGGCTGAGTCAACTGCAGTGGTTTCGATTCCCCGGCTGTACGTGACAAGGAGTGTTGCCTAGGTCCAACCTCGTGGGTTTCTCTCCGGATCCTCCGGTTTCCTCCCACTGCTAAGACCCCTAGTACGTCTAATTATTGAAATAAAATAGAACATGTGTCAGTCCCGAAATGACCCAGTTTATGTCGAGTGGACAGTGGACGTTACCCCCCCCCTCTCTCTCTCGCTCTCTCTCTTTTAAGTTGAATAGAGTAAATAATTGACCACGACAACTAAATTACCCCCCTTAGACGATGCCACAAAAAAAAACCCAAAAATTAAAAAATTGCCGACTTTAAATACCCCCCATAATTATCACAATAAATCGTAAATCCATATGGGCCGTTTCTATAGCCGAGATATCCAGACTCGTTGTCGGAGAGAGAGAGAGAGAGAGAGAGTCCACTCGACACAAACTAGGTCATTTCGGGACTAACATAATGGTTTAATTTTATTTCAATAATTCGCTTGGGCGTAGGGGCCTTTAGCAGTGGCAGGAAACCGGAGGACCCGGAGAAAACCCACGAGGTTGGACAGGCGACCCTATTCCTTGTCACGTACAACCGGGGATTCGAAACCCAGCAGCCGACTCAATGAGCCTTGTGAAGAAGGTTTTAGAAACAGTTTTGGGTGTTCGAGTAAAGAAACAAATAAGTAGACCAATAAATTGGCCTTAGGGTCTTTATATATGTAGAAATGTGGCTTTTGAACCGCAAACCCACATTGTGCCCACCTGAATTCCAAATTTTGGGTGAGAGGGGACAGGTCGGAAGCCGGTCTGCAGCGAGCGCCGAAGTCGCGAACCGAGCCGTCTAAGTCTCACATAGAAAATTTATGAAAATTAGAAGGCTGCAATTTTACGCGTTATCCTGCTATTCCGGCCAATGAGAACGGTAGTTGTGGGAGAGGGGCAGGAATGAAATGTTCGAAAACTGCCGTAAACGCATTTTTCTATTCAGCCCGTTATAGAAAATTTGAACTCCAATCACCCAAGCAATCAATCAGGCAGTCAGGCTGCATAATTCACAGAATGATGGAGCCCCAAAAAGCATGTTGCGCTGAGAGCACTGCCTATACTCTTTAGAGTGGCGCTAGACACTATTTATAATACTGATTTCAAAGAAATTTCGTTGCCCGCAAAGTTGATGACACAAATTCTGACGAATTATTATATAAACTTTTCTGAATGTATATAAACTGATTTACATTCAATCGTTTCTGTTTTATTGTAATTTCTAATCAGTTATGCACGGCGAAATACGCGGAGAGTCAGAATTAAATGGCAGTCTTTGACGTCTGGTTATTCCAGTCTACACGGATAATATTTCTCTGTGGGGTATGTTTACCCCCGGTCAAAGAGTCGCTTCAATACAAATGGCACCCGAAAGGAGTATTACAATTTGAATACCTCGTTCCCCTTTTCACACCACCTCTCTGCGCAACAGTACGTGTACATGTATACAGATACAGCGTATAGCCTTGTTCTTTGAAAACTTAAAATCGACTAAAATGGTTCCAAACGCAAAATAAGAGCAGTCGGTATCAAAATAAGTGCTCACTGCATACGTCACGCTACTCACGCAAAACTTTAGTATAAAATAACCTTGGCAACTTATCATGTTTGAAAAAATGTTGTGTTTCACTCTTATTCTGTTGTGAGTATGTTGGTCTAAGAACACAATTTCCCCCAGGGAGAAAAATAGTCTGTCTCAAAATAAGTGTAGTCACTGCAGTCGGTCTCAAAATTATGCATACATCACACAAAATTATAGTATAAAATAACCATGTCTGTTTGTCATGTTTGAAAAAAATGTTTTGCACTTTTATTCTGTTGTGAGTATGTTCTAAGAAATATTTTTCCCATGGTAAAAAAAATAGTCGGTCTCAAAAAAGTGCTCACCGCAGTCGGTCTCAGACTAAATGCATTAATGAGGTAAACAAACAATGCCAAAATAGAAGGGAATAATTTTGTGTGAATCCGTGCACCTAAATTGCAACGGAATAGTATAAGATAACCTAGTCAGCCTGCAGTCATGTTTGAAAAAAATCCCTGTTATGGGTATGTTGGTCTAAGAAATTGAGAGAGCTTGTATATACGAAGATTTTGATATTTCAAAATATATTCTTGATTTTCATACGAATAATATTAGTCGAACAGTTGGTAATAAGTTATTATCGGAAGTATAGGTTGTTTCAGAAATACCTAAAAAATCTTTAAATTATGAAATTTTAAGGCGATCTGTTGCACTTAGGAATTTTTACTTGTTGCATGTTCAATCCCAGGAGAAATTGAAATGTATTTTACTAATGCTGTTAGTGTTTTCTGACCATCAGAATTCTGCAGATTAGTAGTACCACTAGTGAGTGGGTTTGTGGGTCGACAGACTGTAGAATTGTTATTTCTACTCTCAAAAAAACAGGCGAAATTGACAGATATATATATGCCTCAAGATTCTGTCCCATTTCTTATCCTCTCGTTAACGAGAATTTGGTTCCATTTGCCATGACATTGACTAAAATTTTCAGGCCCAGTCCCAAAAAATTAATAGATCGGTTACATATCTGAAATTTTTTCGCGCCGGCGGCGCTCGATTCCATTATAACTTCATTCTTCCACTCCTCTGTTGTCTTATACTGTCTCAGCACTATCATATTCACGGTTATAGTGAACTGCCCAGTTATATTAGTAGTACCACTGGTGTGAGGGTCGTGGGGCGTCAGACTGTACAAATGTTACATCAATTCTTGCAACACAGGCGGAATTGACAGGGGCAGATCTTGAGATTCTGTCCCATCGACTCACATTTTTGATCCTCTCATCCACAAGAATTTCTCCCAGCAATGACCTCAAATGCCAGGATATTGACTCAATTTTCAAAATTTTCTCAGGTTGCTCAGTGTTATTAGCACAATCATCATATATGACATAAACTTTATGTCAACATAAATAAAACTGCTTTCCGTCGAGACAACGATCGGCGAACAACTATATAATTATACAATACTATCTATGTTCTACCAGTATTTTGTTGACATTCATTGTGGGGTGGGATTGTGGTTGACGCCCTCGATTTGGAACCGCCCACCCACCCCCTATTCCCAGTTTCTAGATCCGCTACCAGTGGCGTCGTGCCCAATGGGGCTCGGGCCCCCCCCCCCCCCCCAAAAAAAAAAAAAAAATTCTCAGGGAAATAAAAATATTTGTATTGATATTATTAAGACAGAAGACCCGTCCGTCTGTTTTAGTCATTAGACATTATCTGTGTTTAGTTTATTGCACTTTAGTTTAAAGATGTCATTTGTTCAGGACCTTGTTCAACAGCGGCCTTGCTTCGTACACTCTAACATTTAGCCGGGAGTAGCCTAAAAACGGTAAAAATAACTCAGTTTTTTCGTCAATCCTCCAGAAATGCAGAAACAATTGTATGTGTAGGGGACAGGGTTTGGGTCAAATACATTTCATTAGCTTTCCAAATACAAATACAACACAAATTTTTCCGATTACCATTGATCAAATATACAACAAATATAAATACCTCAGTTAAACACACTCTGATAAATGATAAAAAAAAATCTTTATCTACATAATATTAAGAAAGTTACAGTTTGCTGTAGCTTGAAAATCCCTATTTATGATTGTATGTTGTATTTGATAAAATATCCATCTATACGGGTGTCAAAAGAGAGTTATAATTTGGTAAACATAGCTGGTTCCGTGCGAATCAGAATATCATGTTTAACACGCGATTGGCAATTTACTAATTGCATCATACACTGTAACCATCCAATCAAATTGACAATCAATTTTATTTTTAGTAACACGCCTTGACCAATCAAAAATAAGGCCTTCCCCAACGAGACGTCATTGACCTCATTTCGTGTTATTTCCGGTCTCTCGAAGTTGCTTGTCACCAAGTGATAGCGCTTCAAGTTAGATTTGTAATTAATAACGCTGTGAAATGACCAATTTAATTACATCGGAAGCTGAATAATGATCAAATATGGTCTCGTTGGCAATAAAAACGACTTGAAGTGTTAGAACTAGTGAGTATTGTGAGATGAAAGCAGACGAAATGTCTTGAATACGTGAAAACAAAGATGGCGGCTGAAATACCCTTTATATACTATAATATATAGTCAAGCAGTAGTAAGAAGTTTTATTTTAATTCCATCAAAGTGCCTGTGCCTTTGAAGGCTTTGATTGAACTTTTCAGCCACGCCTGCGTAGAATTGTCAGAAAAAATTATAGATACCTGGTTGAAGAGAGACAGACATGGGGTATAAAGTCCACTCAACACAAACTAGGTTATTTCGTTACGATACCATTTCAATTATCCACAAATTTGTCATTTTGTTTATGAAATCATTTAAATTTGGAATATGTATAGAATATGCATATCTATAACATTATATATCTTTTATTATCGGTCACTTTTTGCAATACTTTGGGTGGTATTGACATTCCGCTCTTGTCTGTTCTGTCTGTGATTAGTAGGACCACGTACACATTATATGTTTGTCTTTATTTCAGTCATTATTTGAGTCATTCGTTTGTGCGCGTGGGGAAACTCACAAGGTTAGTCAGGCGACTCTACTCCTTGTTGTCACATCAAGCACAGGAACGGAACCACCCTCACTTGAATCAGTGTTAGAGCTTATGAACTACACCGCACGCGTTACAGCTAAGACACCAACCTGATTTTATAGGATTTCCTGGCAACTGTAAGGAAGAAACCATCTGATTTTATAGGTTGTGTTGGTCTGTAAGGAAGACACCGTTTGATTTTACAGTTTCTAGAAATAACTGTGCAGGCTGAATTTACTGGAACCGACTATTGTCATTACTTCTGTTCATTTTGGGACGGTAAGACACTGGCTCGTTAGCCTGAAGGTCGCGTGTTCGACCCCTGCATTGGCCGAGAAAGTTCATCGGGATTTCCCCTTTTCAGTGGTGCAGGACGGAGTGCCCGACAAGGACAGATGTCTAGTGGTTCGGATGGGGCGAAAAACCAAGGCCCCGTGTATACATTGGCGTGCAGGTAAAAGATCCCTTGGTAGTTTGAATTAGATATAAGAGTAGGCCATAGTGCCGCTGCCCGGGCAAAATTTCCCTCATAGCACTGTATGGCATATGCCCGTCTTCATTAGCCCAGTACAGGAATAGGACTTTAAACCCCATTTCATTTCATTTCATTTTGGGACGAAATCGGACGTTAACTGCTGAACTTGGCAGATTTGCAAAGACTCGTAAAACGACTCTTAGAGGAAAACCGAGCCGCATTTTGTATTCGACACTGGAATATACACTGCTTTGATTAGATTATCTTACCGGGGACACTACTTAAGCCCACTTAAACCACAGCTATGATGTCATCCTTTGTTCTTTTAATCCATTATAATGAGGAATGGATTGTTGTCTAAACAAACAGTCCATTATTAATGAAAACAATCCATTATTAAAGGAAATAGTCCATTATTTTTAGACATTGTCCATTATTAGTGAAAAATACATTAATAATAAAGTGTAGTCATTATATATTAAGCAACTGAAAATAAATCAAAACAACCTGTCCATTTATTACTAATTTCCCTTTCAACATTTACAAAATTTTAAATAAATTGAAATTTCCGAAGAATAGATGTTAATTTCCCTGGAATCACTGGACAGTTTTGAATTATTTTGTTTTGGACTTGACGGTTGACACAATTTTGGACATTTTTCAGCTACACAAATGTTACGTAAGTCCGATAGTTGATTGTCGCGTGTCCGTTTATATGCATTTGAACGATGTCCATTTTTTTCCACAATGAGCTGTTCATCGACTCCTGCACCAAATAAACGTGTAGCTGCGATAGCTCTCAATGAGTGGTTCGTATAGTTCCCTTTGAATCCAGCCACCTGGCAGATGCGTTTTATTGTCTGCTGTAATAAATGAATTCCCATAGGCGAGTCACCATACCATACATTAGAATCTGGTATAGCTTCCTAGGTCTCAGATAAAAAGCATCAGTCGGTGTGAAAACTAGAAATAATCTGGTTTTTAACATGATTTTCTAAATCATCACCAGTCTAATTGAAAGAATGGTTGTTTTGTTTCTGTGGATTATTAACATACAATCTGGTCAATTTATTTTACGAAAAGTTGATTTTACGACCCATTTAATCAAAGGCCAATCAAAATGCTTCTGAATTTATAATAATTGTAATGTGTACATATTCATCAAATGATTCTAGACTGGGTAATAAAGAGCGAAATAAACAACCATATAGTAGTAGCCTACCTTAAACTCGTGTATTTTTTTTTATAAAGACGTATTGTAGATTTTGCAATTTTTGATACGCTCTAGTGACCTTAGGTTGTATTCTGCGGTGGTTCAAGCCACCACGATCGGTTTTTGACACATCTTCACAATATTGTATGTATTTCCTCCCCTCACGGGGGGTTGGATGGCTGAATGGTTAGCGTGCGCGCGCTATATCATACAGTCTGTCATTGAGTCGACTGGCGTGGTTTCTATTCCCCGGTTGTACGTGGCAAGGAGTAGGGTCGCCTGTCCAACTTCGTGGGTTTTCTCCGGGTCCTCCGGTTTCCTCCCACTGCTAAAGACCCCTACGCGCAAGCGAATTATTGAAATAAAATTAAACCATATGTTAGTCCCGAAATGACCTAGTTTGTGTCGAGTGGACGTTAAACCCCATTTCTCTCTCTCTCTCTCCTCCCCTCACTCTCAGTGTTAATTGAGAGTTGAGAATATTGGCCAACAGTACGTAAGCTCCTGTGCTCCTGTCCACTCTTTTCTGCTTGGGCACATAATCCATCGTTAACTAACTTTTGTAGCTCCAATTGTTGCAACGGTTCAGAAATCTGGAATTACTGCGATTATTATGGGCTTTGTATTCCACTTTAGAGTCAGGGTTTGTATCCACACCCGATATATCAGAATAAATATTTTACCCTATATTAAAATTTGGATGGTCAATCCTTGGATTTGCATTCTCCCCCATATCCAATATGTCACTCCATACATTGTCATTGTCATAACTAGGAACTGGGTAATAAATATATCCTCTCCACTGGAAGACATGACTGTATTGATATCCTTGTTTCGTTTAACAAATCACCCAGTGATTACGTTTCTAGTGTAAGGAAAGATTTGTAATATAAGAATCTTCAATGAAAAAAATGGAATTAAACAGTTAGAAGGTTTAATGGATCCATGTGATTTAAAGCGTCGACACATGGATCCAAAATTTTCACAGTCTACAACAGAATAAAATAATAATAAATAATAATAATAATAGCTTTATTTCCAATCAAGGGTCCACAGGGGACATGGTACAGAGCAAACAAAGAGAGAAAACCCAAATGACAGTCAAGTAAGAAAATATAATAGTATACATAGCTCCCAACAGGGGAGATACACATATAAGTACCTTATGTACTAAGGCTTCATGCCGAAAAAAAACGGCTCATGAGAACATTATTATTAATCATGAAAGGGAGATAAATCCACTTAACTCTTAATGTTACAGATTAATATTAAGCATTACAGAACAGCTGTATTCATCCGCAAAAAAAAATAGTACCTAAAATTCATGTACATTATATAGGTTTAAACGTCAAATGAGGTCAAATGAATAGAGACGTCTTTAATATATACTAAATATTCGTATCATCCCAAATCGACAATAAAACAGTGAGAAAAAGAAAAATCTAAGTAATGGCAATCTAATTAACATAAAATTTACGACATAATGGATTCTTCAATGTTTTGATGGTGATCATGAATAAAATAGGCCTACATCTGTTCTCAGGAATCCGATAAGATTTTCAAAAAAAAAGATCAGTAGAATTATAGATTGTTATTCCACAAAGTCGAAAGGTATGTTAGATTTTTCATTCAGTCAAGTTAGAGCGAGTTTATTGCCATACTTTGAGCTCCAAACCCGATAGAAATGAAGGCGGAAGTGGCCATAATAGTTTTAGAGATCACTACGTGATTCCGCTCCTGCGTCGCGACAAACGGGCCCGATTTGTCCAGTGGCAGTCACATGACTGCGGTGTTGGTTTAAGTAACTGTCCATTATTTCTGAGGTGTTACAAGACAAAATTGTTTTAAGATGTCTATTATTTTAGACAAAGAGTGGCTCTGGTTTAAGTTAGATAATAGCCTCAGACTGTCCATTATGTAAATACAAAGAAAAACTTCGGGGCTAACGCCCCTCAGTTGTTCTTTCTATTTACATAATGGACAGTCTTCGGCCATTATCCATTACATAATGATCAGAATACCAGTAGTCTGATCCCTACAACATATAATACGAGTCATGTCCCATTCTTGTGTTGATCGAGCGAGCGTGAAATCTAAGGGCGACCTTCGGTTGCACGGAATTCCGTACTATAGTCGAACTATCTGCATGCGAATGACATTTAGTTCAACCAGTGACCAGCCGTACCATGCGATAAAGCACGGTCGGAATAGTTCAAAGATGGCTGACAAAACTGACACTTGAGAAGATTTTCTGAAAAATATAATAAAATTGCCGATTCCCGTTTTGTTATTTACACCTTGGTCGATATTATAGGGCCCATGTTAACACCTGAAAGTTAGTGAATGAGCATTGGGGTATAGATGTTAAGTTTGAATTTCTTTTTTCGTCTTTTTATGATGAATTTGAAAGATTAGGATCTTCTTATTCGAATATATATATAGGCCCACCACAAAAAAAACTGTACGTGTGAAATAATCTAGTTGGTTGGGTGACATTAATCCAATTAAAAATATTCTGATATTGACTAATCCTATTTGTATCCTATTTTAAGCTTGCTTTCACATCGCAGTATGGAAATTTAACCAGTTTTTAAAAATACATGAGTAAATAGGAGAAAATATAGCAGGCGGAACAACTGACATGTTCGCCACCATATTGAATAGTCAATGGCTAGGGCCATTTGCGCTCGGGTGCTGGTTCAGACTGTAGTCTCGACCATAGTCTACATCCGAAGGTCGCCTAGGTGGTTAAGACGCTGGCTCGCTAGCCTGGAGGTCGGGTGTTCGACCCCGCATTGGCCGAGAAAGTTCATCTGGATTTTCCGACGTGGTTTCCCCTTGCCAATGGTGCAGGGCCTGACAAGGACAGCTGTCTAGTCCTTTCGGATGAGACGAAAAACCGAGGTCCCGCGTATACATTAGAATGCACGTAAAAGATCCCTAATTGGAAGTTGGAATTCGATATAATAGTAGGCGATAGTGCCGCTGCCCGGTCAAAATTTCCCTCATAGCACACTGTATGACGTATGCCCGTCTTCATTAGCCCAGTATAGGAGCAGAACAGTAGGACGTTAAACCCCATTTCATTTCATTTCATTTCAAATTTGGTGAGCACTGTGCTCATGGGGGGACGAGCCCTGTCGATCTTCACCGTTCCGCGACTATCCGTTCCAGAGCTGTACCCCCTAATTCGAAAACCTTATGAATGAGATAGATCTATAGTTTTTAACGGATCTGTTTCAAATTTGGCGTGAAGCTTAATCTTTAAGTGGCATTTGGAGATTGAGAAACACTTTAACAGAACACAATGTGCTTGATAATGATATGAGGGGGATACTTGTGAAACGTGCTTTTAGAATTTAATCAGTGACTATTTAACATACAAATTGTGTTCTGTTAGTTTGGCGTGAAGCATTCGGGCCTTGAGAGTGTGGATCCTATATTATCGAAAATTAGCGTTCTACGACCTTCCGTTCAATTTTCCAGGTTACAAATTGTCGACAGTCATGCAAATTGTTCTCCCTTGCACTAGCTTAGCTATTCCACTGTTCAGTAATAATGTATTAATACAAGAAAGAAACTGGTTATACTTTTATTTCATAAAACAAACCATACAATTATAAACATTGATCAACCACCTTGAACAACAAAAAAAGGTTGAAGAAAAAATGTCGCTCGTTGATTTTGTGGGTATACTGACAAGAAGATGACCCCAGTAATGCCGACCATCTCAATTTCATTGCTTTTTTAAATACGAAGATCTGACAGAACTGAAATAAAATGGGGGTTTACCGTTTACTTTTCTGACAGATTTACACTTTGCCCGTACAGAGGTGCTAAGGTCCACCCCTATTTCGAATTCCAACCGTCAAGGGTTCTTTTACGTGCACTACAAATATGGCGAACCAAAAATATAATTTAGAATGACATACACAGAATTTCATATCGAGCTCTGGTTGACTAGACAGCACTTTCCTTGTTCTACTGCCTCGGCTCCAAACTCAACTTAGAAGCTATTTATAAAATGTGTAGCAATAATACCACCAACGTCCGTCTATTGAAAAAATACACTTATCTAGACAATGTGGGAATTACAAAACAAAAGACAATATATCTGATATACAATATTATATATCCCTCACTGGGTTCTGTCAAAAGGTTAGAAGATGAAATTATCTGTTACCATTTTCTTTATCAAAACAATCTTTTCACTAGATGCGACAAGAAGGTCGTATGTTACTATATAAACATGCACACATAAAAGCGACAAATGATTAAATGCATTTCTCAATTAACTCAATATTGTAAACATATAAGGCGTAGCTTTTCGACCAATACGATAATTCCGATCTAATAGCACCAAATAACCTTGTTCCGTGTAAGGACATTTTCAGCTACTTACAATGAAAAAATATTTAAGTTGTCTTTGGCTTGTCAGTAAAGGATAACACGGATAAAAAAGCTTCTTTAAAGCGATTGTTAGCCATACAGTAGCCGAGTGGATACAATAGAACCATTGATTTAGCAGATAGTGGTGGTATAACAGATGCCAGCATGGAAACGTTCTCCGTATCAGCAAACAATGCCCACATACATATAAAACAATAAGATCCCCATCCAACGGCTGTCAATCCCAGGAAATAACAACAAATCTGAAAATAATGTAACAAGAACTGTCAAATATAAGATGGGGCGCTCGTCAACTAGCAACAACGTGTAAAACGGACAGACAACTGTGTGATTTAGCTCTAAATAATCGGGTGGGTTTGACTAAAATTTCCATCCTCCATTGCGTCAATTGCTTAAAGGCTTCAAATATAGAGGGGGTAATGAGGATAAAGACTCCGTCATTCGCGACTATAATTTGAGACCCCCAAAATACCGAATTTTAATAGCAATATTTTAAACCGTCCCATTGTGAATCCAGTGTTGCATCTGAATGAGAGCAGAACTCTGTCCGTGATAACATTATAACATTCATACAGTATAAAAGTTATAATGTACATGGACCTCCCCCCCCCCCCACATTTCGCCAGTTCTGAATTTAAGGAATTCAATAAATAATTCTGCTGGCCTGTCACAAGATTTTTGGGCGTCAAAGAATATGCCTATAATACCCGTGAATTAACCTTTTTCCAATTGATATTTTTTCTCAAATATGAATACACCCATACAGCAGCTTTGTCCCAATTGCAGCTTATCCGAAACGAAAACTTGGATGTTGAGCTAATTTGATGAATCCGGAACGGAAAGTTGCATAAATGTTTTTATCGATAGGGTTAATACTCAATGCTTCCCACCAAATTTGAAAGAAATCCGGTAAAAATTATAGCCTCTATCACATTCACAAGGGTTTTGGCAAAGGGAGGATAACTCCAAAAAGGGAAAGTCGCAGAACGTTGAATATCGATAGGGTTGATTCTGTCATGGTCCCAATACTTCCCACCAAATTTGAAATATAGCCTCTAGTGCATTTACAATGGTTTTTGGCAAAGGCGGGGAGGAACTCCGGAACGATAAGTTCCAGAAAGTTGAGTATCGATATAACCCCAAATGCTTCCCACCAAATATTACAAAAATCAAAAGGGTTAATCCACTCATGACCCCAACGTTTCCCACCAAATTTGAAAAAAACATCCGTTGAAAACTACAGGTTCGAAAGGTTGTAGGACGTTGAATATCGATCGGGTTTGTCCTTTCATGACCACGATGCCTCACACCAAATTTGAAAAAAAAAAAGAAAAAAAGCTTACAACGCGTCCACAGGGTTTCCGGCAAAGGGGGGATAACTCTGGAACGGGAAGTCGTGGAAAACTGACAATCGATAGGGTTCGTCCTCTCATGACCTCAATGGAAACAACCATGTCGACGACGCTTCACACCAAGTGAAACGAATTCGTCAAAAACTGTAGTCTCTGTGGCGTTCACAAGCCAATTGTTGGTGGACCGACGAACCGACGGAAAGGGTGGCGAAATAATACGGCAAAAAAAGCAAAATATTAATTGTTTGTCAATTTTTGAGAAAGCAAGATTTAAATAAGGACGGCAATACTCTTGAGATTTCCAACTCAGACGAGTTAATGGGATTAAAATCTATATATAGAGTATTAATTCAATAAGCAAAAAATAATAACAAGTTTATGAAAATACACATTTAAACATGTATTCAATATTTTATATTTGTTCGAAATAGGAATCCACAGTTGCTCAGTGGGTTCGATCCCGGTGTTGGCCAAGAAAGTTTCATGGGATTTTCCGGTTTGACTGCTCCTTCTCAGTGATGCAGGACGGAGGACACCTGTTGTTCGGTGGGTTAAAAAACCGACGTACCCTCGTTTACACGTTGGCATGCACGTAAAACAACTACTAACTTTTGGAATTCGATGAAGAATATAGGCGGAAACGCCGTTCTCCAGACAGAATTCCACTCTGGACAGGCCCTACATAGCACATACCCGTCTTCATTAGTCCGGTTGGCATAGAACAGTAAGACGTTAAATCGCAGGAAATACAGGTACAACAATTTGTTTCCGAAACATGGTCGTATCTATAAATTTTACTTGATATTATTTATTAGGATAATATTGCTAACTTGAGATTATTCACTGGTCTGGTACTATTGTAGTTGACAATAAACTGATAATCAAAAGAAGCTACGGTATTTCGAAATGTTTACATCCGACATGGACCGCAACATTAGTTAAAGAAAGTAAATACCATTCATTTTTAAAGATATTTCCGCGACAGCTGAGAGCCTAAATAAATAAATATTGATTGAAATTATGTCTGCTGTTAAATACAATCATAATATCATGGGCTACCCTTTACAATTCCACATCTAATAATATCACCAATACGAAAGCATGTCTTTGAAGAACTGATACAAGCAAAGCAGGGGCATTTGCTGCTTTATCTCGTAATGAGCATTGTTTGTGTTTCTGTACAAACTTACCATTCTTAGTTCGTTCTGTGTGAAGAAAGTCTGCGGTTTTGGCACTTCGCCCCTCTCAGTGTCAGTGGTTGGTGACATAAGTAAACTGATGAGAGCTATCGGTAATGGTAAAATGAAGCAAACAAAAGTCAACATGAAGATATATGACGGGTAACTACCATCATAGTTCTGCCATTTAATAGTACACGATGTGCCAGATGGTTCGATGTCATAACTAAAATATAAACAAAACATGTTTTCAATAACAATTTTGATTACCAAAAGCACTTAACCTCAAAAGCGCATCGTCGTAGTGTTTTTCATAAAATAAAAACATTAATTTTAATGAAAGAATGAACAGCTTAAGCGTTGTTTATAATATAAGAAGAGAAGATAATATGACGAACCTGCCCCAACCTAAAACTGGCATAATCGCCCAAAAAAATGCGTTAACCCACACTAATCCGGTAGCCATCCAGTAGAAAGAATTTGATGCTTTATCAACTGAAATATACAATGACCAAAATATTTGAAGCATATTAAAACCCGTCATCATTTAGCGTGCATTTACAACACAGGGTATTTTCAATCTGATTAAAACACAGATCCCATTTCCTTTCGTTTTTTATAGTTCAAAATTTCGTTTTACTTGTCTTTACTACACTAGGATCTGGATTTGGTTGATGTGAGGAATTAGCCAATGAAACGGTCTGTTACGGCGAGTTCTTGGCTTGCGATGCACAGAACTGTAGGTAAACCACTAGAAAGGTCAACGCCGGTTGATTAATCAATGTCTGACGTCATAGGGTCAAAAGCCGCTTGCATAACCCCTGACACAACCTTTCACTACAACTGGTCAGATCTTCATGTAGAGAGGTCATCAAAGTATATAAATAAAACGAAACGAAAAATAGATCTGTATTTTAATCAGATTGAGATTATTTTGTGACTAATCTTTTGCCATACATGTCGGTCTATATAATATGAACAGCATGCATTTCTTGATTTAATGTAAATGTTTCTTTATCTTATTTATAAGAAATACAAAACATTTACCCTAGGGATAATGAAATTCTCATTATAATTACCATTGACATGTATGAATATTTTTTATAATCTGCGGTTTAGTTTTTGTAATATATATATATTATTAGTTTATTGATATGCCACTAGTAATTTGAAATATTATATATATTAATTCACGGTGATCTTAAAATTGTTAACATGGGCTTAAAGACATCCATCTTCTACGGTAAATGTATATGTCAGATGTACTTAAAAAAATGTAAGAAGCTACACACAATTTGTACTGGTAGGAATTGTGAATTAAAGATACATCGATTTATATTGGAATGGTGGTGAAATTTCAAATAATTATGGTTATTTTATTATTTTATGGCTTCTGAAATACATCCCCACCCCATTTAGATATATGCACTGTAGGGTGTAAATTATTCTGGTTTGGTAGGCGCATTGAGTTTGGAACACGAGCAATGATTTGCATAGATTTCGATACTGGGTGGTGATCGGGTGTTTGAGGGGGCTTTTAAGGGATATATGTGTAGGGGGGGGGGGGCAATGCATAAAATAAATTGGTTGGAAATGGTAAAATGTTGATATAATGCCTAAAATTGGTGAGATATTTCATTGAGGGAGGGGGGGGGGGCGTAGAATATGGACAAAACCAAAGATGATGATCAGCTTAAAGAATTTCTAGCACTGTAAGTCGGTGAAAGGATCGAAATCTACAAAATAAAACACCCACCCCACCCCACCCAAAAAAAAAACTGCTTTAGAAAAACTTGAAACCCCCCTTGCGCCACCGGATTATAGTACTACCTTGGCACTATCACATAGTTAACCACATTTTTCTAAATGTTTGTCTATGTAATTGATGTATTGCTATATTTACCTTCTTCTTTCTGTCTACAAACCATATATCTCTCTATACACAGAGCAAATATATTACCTATAGCAGCTATACCAGAAAACATGCCAACAAATCCATAGAATTGACACATATTACTACCATATAACCATCTATAATATATAATATACGTGTACATTTTTACCATATAACCATAATATGTAATATATAGCTCGATATATACTTTAATCCAAGTATCGCAATTTACCCTTTTCACGGTACACTTTACTGAATTGCAAGTTGCGAATCGCAATTTTATTATGAATTATTCTATACATTTCTAGTTCAGCGCGATTCACATTGCACTGTTTTAGTATCTATACAGGTTTCCTTATCGAATCATATCTCGACATGTATGCTGATACGTATCGTTTCGCGATCCCTACTTTGTGCCAGGTTCCCACAATCACGATTCGCGCTACGATTGAAATCGTGGTTTTAATCGTAGAGTAATTGTAGTGATCGTAGAAATCGTGTTGATCGTGGACTCAATAGGGACGATTCTATCGTAACGCATCGCACGACAGTGGGAACCTAGCATTATGGCCCCGAAAATACAGGCTGGTATAACGCAAGTTGTTTAGTTTTGTATAAACATCGACATGACGCGCATCCACGAAGGTGATGAAGAATATTCTGGTGTTGCCATATTCTTGTATTTCTTTCGCAAGATTTGAAAGTCGAAGTGCAAACAAAAATTAACTCTGTTATTTCCGGCCGTACTTATCTGAATTTGAGAAAGTTCTTCTCAGAGAATAATGCAACAACGTTTAAAACATTGCAAAGGGTACCCAGAAGCCTTATAAAATATAGATAGAAGTTAGTGAGCCACTGATTCTGAATTTCAACAGATTCCATTCACATAATTTAAAATTTGAAAAAATAATAATTATGGAGCGATTTGTTTTAGATTGGCGCTCCAATTTAGCTTTTGTGTCCCTACATACAAGCCCGTCAATGTTTGTTTTAAGCTGATAATATTGCCAGATATCTGTGTTCAAACCAACATGCAATTTACCAAACGCTGACTTTGGCAGATCTGTTTCATCGAGGTAATAGTATTTAAGAACATTGGCAATATTCCCAAATTGGCAGAATTTCGAAAAAAAAAAAAATAATTGCCGACGAATATGGATAAAAGATCTCTTTGTACCCATGTTAGTTAAAACTGTAAGAAACAATTGACACGCCATAATATTTAAATTTGTATTCAACTGACCTGCCACTGAAACTAGAAGAACCAGAAAATGGGAAAGCTCCTACAACACCAAGATTAGCTAGAGCCAAACTAATATGCAGCCACGCCCGCCCTGATTTAAATAAGGCCTTCTCTCTAATAAATGTCATCACACTAAAAAAGCTTAATAAACTACCAAATATACCTAAAACAAATATAAAATGAATAATTTTAAATAATACATTGTATAGAAATAAAACAACGACAATGTCAACAAATGCAAAATTCGACCCGAAACAATCAGACTGCGTGTCGGATGTAAAGTATTCACACAAAAATGCTGGACGGACAAACGTAACGACATAATGATGACGTCGTCCATATTAAACATAGGATATTTATAAAAACTACCTGTTCAGATTGATTCCTATTCTCCACTGTGGATACAGTAAGCCAAAAACTGAGACTTAAATTCGACTTCTGCTTATTCTTTTCGAAATCGTACAGAGCTTACCTTAATCAGAGACCTGGGTCCCGTGTACACATTGGCGTGCATGTAAAAGATCCATTGATAGTTGGAATTCGAAATAAGAGTAGGATATAGCGACGCTTTCCGGCCAAAATTACCCTCATAGCACGCTGTATGGCGTAAGTCTGTCTTCATTAGTCCATTAAACCCCATTTCATTTCATTTCCTTAATCAAAGAGGGTTAGCTCTTTTAAGACATTCCATTTCAAAACGTAGGCTATAAATAATTTAAATAACATATAACTTTTCTCTGGGAATGTTCTACAGATATAAATAGAGAGAGAAATGTGGTTTAACGTCCACACGACACAAACTAGGTCATTTCGGGACTAACACATGGTTCAATTTTATTTCAATAATTCGCTTGGGCGTAGTGGTCTTTAGCAGTGGAAGGAAACCGGAAGACCCGGAGAAAACCCACGAGGCTGGACAAGCGACCCTACTACTCCTTGTCACGTACAACCGGCTACAGATATAAATATAAATGTTAACATATAAATCACAAATATCAAAAAATGTATTATGCATTTTAACTATTTACCAGCGTTTGCCAGGCAGGATACGCCCACATTTTTCAAGAGATGGATAAAGAACAAGCTAAAAAAAAAGAAGCGATTTTTCGTACAATCAGGGATCATAATCCAGGATGTTATGGTCTAAATGCACGAATATCGAAATGGACTGAAATATTTGGGATATAAAAATATACTTTTAAGTTTCGTCAAAATCGGATAAAAACTGTGACTTCTAGAGGGTTCACAACTTTGGTATTACATGCTTTTACACTATTTGTGTACAAGGAGCGGCCATTTTGTCAGGCAGTTTCAGTCCGATTTTCACGAAATTCGAACTCAAGCTTCATTAGGGTGTAACGGTAATATATTCGAAGAGTTTTTTTTTTAAATCGGATAATAATTGTGACCTCTAGAGGGACCACAAGCTATAAATGCGATTTTTTGTACAATCAGGGTCCATAATTCAGGAAGTTACGATCCGAAAGGAACTAAGATCTTTGGGTTATAAACATGCTTTTCAAATTTCATCAAAATCAGATGAAAATTGTGACCTGTAGAGTGTCCACACGCTAAAAACGAGAATTTTTCGAACAATCAGCGGCCATATTCCATGAAGTTATGGTCCGATACATGCCAGTATCGAAAGGAATGGAGATCTTTTGAAGGTAGACATATATTTCAAGTTTCGTCAAAATCGAATAAAAATTGTGACCTGTAGATAATCCACAAACAAATAGTGGACGGACGGATGGACAGGGGCGACGGCATAATACGTCCACATGAAAATGTGGGCGCATAAAAATTGCAATTAAGTCTTAAGTGCATCCTGGTATAAGGAAACCTTGGTGTAGAATGGGTTGACTTTTACGAAAAGAATATAATTATTGAAGTCCCTGCCCAAAGGTGATAATTAAGACTGGAGTTTTGTACCAATCTTAACATATCTACAATATTTGAAATCCACCAAGTTGACGACCGTTTTCATAAGGTTTCTTTTTACTAGACCAATTAATTTCTGGAGGTTTCTTCAACCATTTAAAGGAGCCAAGTCTCTAACTCATTATCTTCCACAATCTTTGACATTGCAAACATGATTTAAATCAAGAAATCAACATTGATGTTGTTATCTTACCGTGCAATCTGATTTAAACACAGATCATATTTCGTTTCGTTTTTTTATAGTTCAAAATTTCGTTCTATTTGTCTGTACTACACTAGGAACTGGAAGAGTTGTTATATAACCTGCGTTCTGGATAGCGTGAGGGATTAGCCAATGAAACCCATCTATTACGGCGACTTCTTGGCGTGCGATGCACGGAACTGTGGTTAAATCACTAGAGACGTCAACGCTGATTGATTAATCAATGCCTGATGTCATAGTGCCAAAGCTGCTCGTACGACCCCTGACGCGATCCCCCAATACAACTGGTCAGATTTTCATGCAGTGTAGGCCATCGAAAGTATAAAAAACGAAACGAAATATAGATCTGTATTTTAATCAGCTTGCTTACTGTGAAAAGTTGGGCTTCTGATATCCAATATTTAAGACAAAAATGAAAATTTTAAAATCGGCACACGAATCGCGTGCCAGAATGATTTCGAGTGCCAATTGTATGAAGCGACTTGATGAACGAGGCTAAAGATATCCTATGTAGAAGAATACTACTGGTGTAGACTGGAATAACCAAACGCCAAAGACTGTCATTCAATTCAGACGCTTCGCGTATTTCGCAGAACATAACTAATTAGAAATTACAGTAAAAACAGAAACGATTGAATGTAAATCAGTTTAAATACATTTATATTACACTATTATAAGCGTTGTGACCCATTTGTGTCCATTTTAGGCGCCAAAGAATAGCGATTTAGCTCATGCCTCATTTAAGATAACTTTTTCAAAAAATCTTTAAACTCTAATAATGCTGAGCTAAAATTTTTGATTAGCGGACTGGGACGGTAATATCCACAGTAAACAGTTATCCTCCAATCAGTGCTAGAAGTTGAGATTTATTAAGCATTCAATTCAGAAAAGACCTGTTCAGATTTATTTTTGATAATATAAATTTAACATTTTAGGTTTAAGATCAGTTTAATAAAGCCGTGTACTCACCAAATATCATATACAGCATTCCAACAACCGAATGTTCAAAACGCGTAAATTCTCCCACAGTCATGATGTTATAGTTTCTCTACAATATTGTTTAATGGCTTAAACGACCCAACAGTCAAATGACATCTACAAGACTAACCAGTATGACAATGTGATTTTGTAGATCAGGGCGATTCCATTATGTGTAGAATAGGTAAATCGATGTTGTTTATAAGACTCTTATATTACCAGAAGATCATTGCGTGACATACACTATAAAACGTTTATTTGATTCCACAAAACTACGACACGGCAATCATCTATACCAGGCTTCTATATACATGTTAATTAATCACCTCATATGTAATTAGTTACATTTTCTTCCTGTCACTCAAACTCATCAGTGGTGATAATTTCTCCTGTCATATCACGTTTCTCAACTCGTGCCATGTTAAAACCGAGAAATTAGTTTATTAATTTTTATGGAAACAACTCATCCTTTCAGCCATTAGTACGTGCTAATTATCCTAGATAAAACTACCATGTATGTCTCGGAATATTTATGGATGGGCGCAGAAATATCGATATATCAAACTAAAAATCTATTAGAATCAACCAAGATTATTCGGGCGGGACGATTTACCCAATACTACCCAGTACCACCAAATACTAACTAAATACTGCCAAATACTACCTCAGTATTGTGAAAAACTAACAGAATACTTCATTACACTAAAACAATTGAATTATTTCGTGGAAAGCTTGCAAAAATGTATTGCAAAAGTGATAGCCAATATCTCGATGTTCTAGTTACCCCCCTTAATCACCCAATAGTAACAAATATTAACCCATACTTTCTGAAATCGATCCATTTCTGTGAAATATTGGGCCAATATTACTCAAGCATGGGATAAAAGAACAATTATTGGAATAACAACACGTTTATTTGTGGAAACTAAATTATTTATTCAATGTTTAAATCGTTTATCATTTATCACTCATACTATAAATCGACATTTTACATGTTTGCACTTATAGGAACAGGGGCGGATTCAGAAATGTTTGCAGGAGGGGGTTTGCTAGGTTCCTGTTAAGGAAATTTGACAGTTGACAATGCATGATACCATCATCGTCTCCAAATTACGAAGGCATAAATACACACTGAGTTTTTTAAAGAGAGAAACCCAACACCCCGTTTGAATTCAATTTTCATTATGAATTAATAGGGTCGCATTGTGTTTCAATTATCATCATCTCGCGCTTTGAATACTTTTTTTTTATCATTAATCCAATTTACATGGTTAGGAGATGTACATATTAATAAATGGAGAAGCCAAATAACCACCAATTACACTGTAGGAGACAAGGTAAAATGCGCCCACCATAGCTTTATCGTCGGTGCGAAATAAACTTTTTAACGATTTACCTTTTGGATCATGCACAAGTGTCGGGGGCTAAATAATGATCACAGGATCCAATTAATTATTGAAATACCTGCTGTGTAAGACTATTTCTAGTAATTATATAAAGTACATTAATAACAAAGTGAGACATGGTAAATATGAATACTAATTATGTTAGTCAGACACAAGAGACTCAAGAACTACTAAAACTTTGATCAATTATATCGATCGAGAGCTGGTAAGTGCACAGTGTATTGTACTCTATCAGCGTAACAATAGCATGGACGGATATAGGATTTTTGCAAGAGACAAGGGGTCTAATAAAAGTATTTGAAAAACAAAACAACCAGTAACACTTTATAATTCTTGAGTAGAAATTTAATATCCAGCCAAGGCACTTAAGTCCAGCTAAATATTGCTTTTCGGGGGTTTGAAACTTGCAATAAGTAAATTGTGCAAAGATCACAATTTAAATATTGAAAACGAAATAATACATATCTCGAGTGCGAGTAAAGATGATTATAAATTAAGAATATATACTGATATAATAAATAATTTGAATCTATTTTATGATGTTCTTTCAGACATTTTAAAGTCAAAGGATATTGATTTTAAAAGAATTAATGTGAAGTTTATTAAACCAACAGCTATATTAAAATGGGAAGAATATTTAGGTAGATAAATAGATGAAAAAACTATAAAATCAGGATTTAAGTCATAATAAAATTGTACCCATACAAAAGTCCGAAATTTCCAGTTTAAATATACACACAAAATAATATACACAAATAATCGATTATTGAAATTTGCAAAAGTGGCTTCGGGTCTATGTGATTTCTGCCACAGCACGCCAGAAACTGAAAAGCACCTATTTATTCAATGCTCGTATTCTCAATACCCTTAATGACATCTTAATTAAATATACAGTAATCTATCACCTTCTGTCATAATTTTAGATATTACAATTTACATGATGATATTAGCAAATTTGAAAACAAATCCCAATTAGAATTCATTTATTGTATAATTCATCTAACAAAATATTTCATCTTCAAATTAAGTTGTATAGGTAAAACACCGTCCAACGAACATTATATAGCTTACATAAGAAACAAGATTGAACTTGAACTATCTGCAAATCCTAATTTTATTCCAAAATGGCAATATGATGTATAGTAACTCTGATTCCTTGATCAACCCCGGTACAGTGTATACTATATTATTTAAGCCTGTCAATTGTTTCTATTGTACTACATATGTCTACGCATGTACTGTTGTAAATTGATTTGATGATTTATTAAATCAATAAATGTTTTCTTATGAAAACACTCAAAGCAGAGTCGACTAAAAGGTGCAGTTTGTTGCATGTTACATTAAAATGGGGACGGTATTATAATTATATATTATTACACAACCCTCTTCTTCAAAATGTTAATGGTATTATTGTATAACTCAAGCAAACGCATGTATTTGAATACATTGGCATGTATTATAATGATATATTATTACACAACCCTCTTCTTCAAAATGGTAATGGTATTACTGTATAACTCAAGCAAATGCATATATTTGAATACATTGGCATGTATTCAAATTAACAATAACTTATCTGAGTGATTTAATTGCAAATCAGGACTTCGTCAGGTCGATAATCTCTCGCCAACTTTATTCTCTATTACATCAACGACTTAGTAAAGCAAATCAGCTCGTGTAATATTGTCATTAGAGTATCCTATTATAAGCTAGCAATATTATTCTACGCAGATGACATAGTGCTACTCTCAGATAACGATAAGAACCTACAGCTATTTCTTGACAAGATTAACGAATGGTGCATGAGATGGAAAGTCCTTATCGACACATCAAAATCCAAATGCATTCACTTCAGGCCGTCAAGACAAACAAGAAGTGACTTTAAATGTAAACTTGGTCTGGAAGAAATCGATACTGTTGAAAGTTAAAATATTTGTGTGCTGTTTTTCAAGAACACTCTAAGTTTGAGGCCTGTATACCTATTGTCGACTATGGAGCTGCAATATAAATCCTACAACTCACTTGAAATGATACAAAACAGGGCTGTGCGATTTCTACTAGGAATACACCGATTCAAACCTTTGCTAGGAATGAGTGGCGACATTGGGTAGATGCCTTGCACATAAAGAAGATGAATCAAAATGTTTCAATTCTGAGATAGACTTTTATGTTTAGACGACGATAGACTGACAAAAATAAAATAAAAACTGGTGTGCTGATATGAAAGTCAAATTTGAGAAACTAAATCTTTCTGAATACTATACCATTAAATAGGCGATAAATAATAATATCTATGTAATAAAATCAAGGATTTTGTCAAATGTAATGGAGTCATGGCAGGTTAAAATAAACAACGCACCCAGACTCAGAAACTATGCCGCCTTTAAAAATGAGTTTAAACCCGAGAATTACCTAGTCATTAATTTGTCCAGAAATGAACGGTCAATAGTGGCGCAAATTAGATGCGATGTTTTACCCCTTCGTGTTCAGACTTATAGGTGAAAAGTTCGAAGATCGAATCTGTCAAAATGTGTGCACAGAACTGTCCACTGTTCCTTATACAGCGATCTGCGACAGTACCGGTTTAAAGAAGCGATATCAGATTTAAAATTCTCACAAATGCAAGATAATAACAAATCCACAATCTGCGGTGTCGATGCGCTAAATTTCTGACTCACGCATACCTGAGGCGCAGAGACAAATTTTGCAACTGATATGGGAAGGAATGCCTAAAGCTTGAATAGACATTGTAATTATTGTAAATACTCAACTTATGATCCATTTCGTAAAAATTCTTTTATTAGACTTTAATTTGTGTATGTTAAATAGTGACATAAAGGACCACTGGACCGGGTGTTAGTATTTTTATATTGATTTTCACATGTCTTCTTTGTATAACCCATGTCACTGAAATAAACAACTTTCCTACTACTGTAATTCACGTGAATCCTATGCGAAATCGTTTGAGATCGACAGGAATCCACTACTGACTATTTCATTACTTAACTGTGCAGCGTTATTGATCATATCAGCCAAGGACTCCAATACTAAGGCAACACAAATAAAATAAGTTGTTTCTCGGGCACCGCCCGCACGCAAAATTGGTTGCGCGTGCGGCCTATTTATTAGTCTTGATGAAAAATAAAAAATATGTAACGCCCGCCCGAACATCGATAAGCAAGTCATAAAAAGAATATGCCGCATGTATCTACATGCCCCATACGTGAATATCCATTCAAATGTATTAAACTGATTCAGATGTAAACGCTCATTTACGGGTCTTTTTTATTGATATCGAAAGAACCTCCATTTTTGTATCACGTGATTTTAATTACCTCCCCTTGTGAACTAGAATTTGATTCGTGTTAAACACCGAAAGTCATTGACAACAGTGCATTGTATTTCAATCATTCGATCTTAATCGGCTCATTATTGCCGGCTTCAGTCGGTCCATGTTTGAAAAAATCCTACTTATAAAACAATGAATCGTAGAACAGGTTAATTATTATAACTTGTGGCTACGAATACGATACGATGATAGTCACCATACCTTAGTCAGAATCTGGGTCATTAGCACATTTAACGGTAGTTTTGATAATCCGGAAAATAATAATTGGATTACACATTTGATTGTTTTACTGACCAGTTGTTAGTTAAATTTAAATAGTCATTCGATATAAACCCCAGATAGAACACCGAATATCCTGAGAAACACA